TAGTGTGTTGTGTGTTGTTAATATTATATATATTATATTATATATATATATATATATATATATATATATATATATATATATATATATATATATATATATTATGTATTTTAGCGAGATCATACTGCCGGCTTGCTGTTGTTCGTGGGAATTTCATATTTATAATTGCGGGGCTGCGAGGGTTCCCGGTGATGTGACGCCATGTACAACTTAAACTACGCTTGTATTTCAAACCCGGACATCAATCAAGTGTAATGAGAGTGTTATCGTTGCTCACTCGGTGGTCGTAACGTGTGCTCAAAAGTTCTGAAAATGTCGTCATATTGGGGGGGGGAAATCCTGATTGACACAATTATTTTATGATCCAACAATCGCCATTTTATGGGCCACTTCTGATGGATGACGTCGAATACTCACAGGCTAGCTGACGTATTGGGCCTGGTTGGATGCTTGAATGTACGCATTATCGGCAGCACTGGAAAGACTCGCACACTCTTACATTCTCACATGATGACATTATGAGAGGTATCCTTGATCAAGTGTGTATTTGCGCGCACACTTGTATTCGCATGCGAAACAGACCCATCAGGCTATCCACGCATATAAACATCTATCACATTGACTTTCAAAAACTGTGTATGTTTGTCGTACACAAACACAACCCCTTAGGATGAAGCCAGTATCAGCACCCTAATGTACCATCGTGTGAACTTATGACAAGTGAAGCTATTATTGTTTTATAGGAAGATTAATAATAAAATATTTAGCCCACTGAAGCAACCTTGATCTTCGAAAGATTAAATGGGTAGGTGCATATGCAACCTTTAACGGGGCTGCATTACAGCTAGCTGGCTATCACGTTGGTATCAAATAGGGCAATGACAACGAATGGTCACAGCGGAGCAGTGGAGTCTTGTAATATAATAAGTGCCGAAATTTACGTATGAGCGTAGCCTGCTGGAGAAATCAAACTAGACCAGCTAATCACATCGCGCTATCATACGGTATCGATTGTGGAATAATCATCGCATGAGTACAGCAGTGTCACTCACAGAACATACTTACTTCTTTCTCCGCATTTTTATTCGTTCATTTGTACACGCTATTTACAAATCGCAATGGCTAAAACGATCTGAAGTTCTGATATCACTGCAGGAGTGCAGGCTTGCAAGAACAATGGGTCACACATCTAGGCAGTAGGCGGCTTTATTGATATCAGTGAGAGAACCCCGAAGTAAAAATTGCTTTATTTACATATGTACAAGTTTTGTTTACATTTTAGTTTTATGTATATTTGTGTACAAATTTTATTTTGTACAGTGTCTATGGTTCCCTAAGAAGTTCAAGAACACATACATACGTAAATTTAAAACTAAATATATTTCTAAGAGCAAGTTGTACATATATAAATAATAAAAGTCAAAAGACCAGTGGATCACAAAGACACAAACGATAATATAATATTCTGATTGGATTTCACTCTTGAGATTTCTACAGGGTGCCGAGTGAATTTGTATCCAATGGACCAATTAAAGTCCCCTATTCTTCGAAATGATTTGCAGTTTTTAGATTTACTGATAACATTTTATGATTATAGTTTTTACAGACCCATCGCTCCAGCGGTCTCAGATGTGAGATCATATATCATATTTGGTTTCTCATCCTCCACGATGGTCGTATAAATTTTACAAATGAAGTCAAAAGCGCTTTTATTTTAAAAACATAAGTGTATTTATAAACAAACAAACAGCTGGCTGGCTGAGGTAGAATATGTAATTGGGAATTGTACACAGTGATCAGGGTATATATGAACTCGCTAATGACCTGGAAAATATATCTATATATATTGAGCTTCTATGTTCACGAACAATAGACATACACATAACCGCTAAATACGATCGTGCACAAACACGCACAAAACACAGCTCTTGCCCTACCATAAGTACAACTACTATTAGTACTGTATGACTATGAACAAGCTTAAGGATTATGATGATATCCCCACTGAAAAATTGAAAAACAAGATGTCCGCAGCATCGGAAGACCACTTCAAAGATAGTTTAAAAGGTAAGAAATCGTTAGAGGGTAGACATATTACAAGATCGTCCGCGTCCGCAGACGATTCGGCACTTTTTGGGGCCAACCTTGTGCCCTTGTCTACGTTCTCTTGTGATGGACAAACCATACAACGTCGAGCAACATCGGCTCACGCAGGCAAGACTACATTATATAAGCTCGCAAAAGACGTATCAACTCCTACCGCCACAGCGCCAAAGAAGCGCAGGCGATGGAGTTTCAGTAACATATTCAAGCTCAAGTCGAGTTCCAAAAACAAGCATACGGACCAACACTCAGAGACACGGACAATGAGTACATCAGAGAAACTTAAAGATGATACTCCTATGGATGGAAGTGATCCTCTAGCGCTGACGTACCAGCTACACAACTCGAAGAAAAAGTACGCGGCGCAAGCTCGCACCGCAGTCAGCGATTGCAGATCCGAAGATCCAGTAGGCAAAACGGTGCGAACAAAGTCCAGCGGACAATTGCCTAGGGAAAATTCCCGACCGATTTCGACTGTAGGTCCACTTAAAATGGTTGCTAGCCCCGCTGTCAGTGGAACATCGAGTGCCATTTCCTCAACAGGACTCAGATTCTCTCTCCGGTTTGCCTCGAGAGATTCGTTGTCATTTGATAAGAACTGGCTGGTGACTACCCCCACAGCATCTCGATCAACCGATTCTATTGCTACCGTACCCAACTGTAGACTCTCGCCTTTGCGTATCGACACTGGAAAGCCTGAGAGCGGTTCACAAATGACGTCTGCGACGATGGGCCAGCTCAAGTCATGCCTCAAGACACCTGCCAACGGGAAGCATAGTGTGGTTAGTGGTCTGGTAAGTCCTAGACTGCCGATGTCTAGCTCTGTTAGCCCCCGCAGAGTATCGCAGGTGGCATCAATGTCCCCGTCCTCGACAATATTCTTTTGCAGACCGGGCTCGCTCAAGCATTCGCTATCGCAAGCGAGCAAAACATCCGCCCCAATAACTACACAGTTTGACTTCGACAATCGTCCTGGGAGTAGCCGGCGACAAGCCACATGGTCAGTGCATAGGCGAGTGCCGCAGGAGGGCAAACAACAACGCCGAGATTCCGATTCCGATGATAACTCGGCGACCACACGTACTTCGTATGTGCTAAGCTATGCTTCCCTTTCATGCGAGAGTATGTACTCCTCCAGGACTACAACCCCGGAAATCGCCACGGACAGCACAGCGTCGGCAGGTGTATTCCATGTGCACTCGCCAGCGTGCTCACCAAGCAATGCATCGCACGAGCCTAGCCTGCAAGCATCGAGCACGCAAGACGAGGTTTGCCACAACTTGTCCGATACCTGCACACGCGTGGAGGTGGGTGGCCCGCACTCGCCCGACATAGCCCGTCCGCGCCACAACTCACAGCTCCCACAGCTGAATGTGACCAGGTTTGCCGGAAAAGCCGATGTGCCCTCGGGCTCACCTTGTGCGGTTACCTACATAGGCAGGGGCGCGGGCCATGGCCGACCATATTACAGGTCAATGTCGCTGGAACCTAGTCTGAACATCAGCAGTCCGCACCCAAACTCGCGCATTGCGGGCCTGCTGGGGACCCCGCGCTGCATCTCTGGGCCATGTACGCCTACGCAGCTGCTGGTGCCAACTCAGCTGTATCAGTACCCCACATACACCAGAGCCGAGTCATGCGGCCGCAAGATGAGGAGGGGCTCGGCACCTTCGCCTGTGAGGCAGATGGGGTCGTCCATACAGCAACGGGCCAAGTCCATCCGCAAGACCATCTCCAACAACACCAGCACAGTCAAGCACTCTGTGTCTGGCCGTGGCAAGTCAACGAGCCTGTCCAGTACACCGGTGATGACGCGGGGAGTTGCGGCGCGGACTGAAACGAACACGTGGTGTGCCCATGACGTCGTGAAGGCGCGTAGTGCTGAGTCTACCAGGCGAGCCACGTTTAGCACCAAGGCGATCGTCACGCCCACCTTTTCGCATCAGGCGTATAATCGGTCAGGCTGTGTTGTAGTTGCCGGAGGGCTGAGCAAGGAGGATGTGGTGCAGATCTACACGGATCTGATGAGCTACAAGCTATCCGAGATGGAGGTCCACGAAGACTCGGTCAAAAACATCAATACCAACATGGCCAACATGGCGCAGATGGAGGCGCAGACTCGCACAGACATACTGGATGCGATAGTCGAACAACACCTCAAGGCCGAGCGCCAGGGGTTGGTGCAGACGAGCAAGCACCTTCGGCACGTGGGAGAGGAAGCAGACAAACAGAGCGACGAGATTGTACTCAGCACAGCGGCACTTACAGCCAGTGACAGTGACAGCGCGCACTGCCCCGACAGTCCCGTCCACAGTGACACACCGTGTCCGCCCGAGAGTGCGTGTGATGCGTTAGTCGGGGTGACAGAAGCCAGCAGGGATAGCTCGTTCAGAGACTGCAGCGTGATGGATAGAGTGCTAATGGTGAACCCAGGAATGACGTACAGAAGTGCACCCGCTTTCAGTGACAGTTCGATGGCGGCGTTGCGGAGAGGCCGAGAGAAGATGCTCAGCCAGTTAGAGCGCAGCGATACCAAGTCGTTGCTGCAGATACAGGATGGTAAGGACAAATCGGGTGGTGTACTGCGCAGTCTACGGATAATAGGGCCCAAAGTGGTTTGAATTGTAGCCAGTTATGTGGCTGAAAGTAAGCACATAGTCAGAGACGAGTAGAAGAATAGAAGTAGTTAGACAGATAAGTACGAATATGTACGTAAGTGATATAGTGCCAAGCGTGAGAGTGCAGCACAGCGGTGACGAATTATAGTTGGCGTGCAAATGCCAAAATACGACGCATGGACGAACATAGTAATCAGAACAACAATAAAGTCAGTTCGCAACAATAGTATGGTGTGTAAGAGACTATAGAAAGCTACATCCATCAAGAATAAGAGCTTCACAAGAAAATAAAAAAATTTAAGATAGTTATCAAACGCTGAAGGAGAACATATACTACAGCGCAACGTAATATATGTATCAATGTCTGACAAACTACAGCGCAACGTAATATATGTATCAATGTCTGACAAACGCAACGTTTTCATACACAAAATCCACTATACTGTTTGACGGGCACGTCATATTTCTATAAATATATATATATATATACATGTTTGTATCTTTATTTCTTCGCACGCAGAGAATTGGCTTTCTTTATCGCAGCCTTTCTCCTCGATTTCCAGTAGGCTTTCTGCATCGGGTCATCTTTGCCGGCATCTGCACAATCGGATTGAAGAAATGTTATTAGATGATTGCGATTGTGACATGGTTCATAGCGTAATCAGCTGGATTAGACCTTAAGACTGCTCACTGGTTTTTGGTGTAATTTCGGGTGCTGTATTGGCAATTGGGGCTGGATTGGAACTTACAGACAAATGTCCACTGGCTTGTGATGTAATATCGGGTGCTACATTAGTAATTGGGCCACATCTCCCGACCACATTGTGACTAGCTTCTGCGTCACTACCCAAATGGGGCTGTAGATACGGGGGGAGCAGCCATGCACAGGCTATGTAGCTAGTACACGATGTATACGCAACAGTACCGAACTACCCGAAGCCTTAGAGACGGAGACCCCCAGCCACAACACGAAAGTCATAGACATCGGCTGTTCGAAAGTGTGTCTCGCTCGTCCCCCCCTTTGGTATATCCCACAACCCCGTACATGCGCTATCGGGAAAGATACAAGTCGCCTGTGTCGATTACAAGAACATTGACTCGTCTCGATGGATCACCCGAACATTCCCATGGCAACGGACCCGAGTAGGAGCAACAAGGATGCTCCGTTAACGCATGCCCTCCGCACTATTCCTACTAGCAGTCTCGGTAGTCGACGTAATATGGGCCAGTCACAAACCTTGCCACCACGCACTATGACAGGTGACATGCACATGCACATGCGGGGCCCTTCAAATCAGACACTTCCTCTCAAGAACTCTGTCCCGAAACCTCAGAGAAGTCTGCAAACAACGTCCAAATGCACCATTTTCAGGTCCCACTCTGGTTCAGGGGACACACCAACGTGTAGTAAACTCACCTCTAACACTCTTGTCCAGGAGACCGAAAAGCCATTCTGGGTATTCCGAGCTGGATAATGGCGGACAGGGCAGATTGGGTCCAAAGGGAAGCAGAGGGGTTAGTTCGGGGCATGTCGCGTGTGGGAAATTGAGGGGACTTCAGGTTATCTGAGCGCGGCAGGGGAGGGATACAAGCCGAGTCCGGGATATGCACGAAGCGAAAAAGTGCTTGTATCAGGCGCACGTGTTGTTTTAGCTAGCATGTGTGGTGTGCACGGTACTAGTGTACTGTGTAGTGTTGCTAGGCAACGGCGCAAGCCGCGAAATCGCCCGTGCAAATGCATGACTAACATCAACACCAGCGCAGTGCTATCTGGAAACCAACCGAGAGATACGTTATCCATAACTGATCTCAGCCAGATCTCTGCTTTTCAGCAGTGTGTAGATATGCACAGTGTATACATACGCATAACACGTTAATTGTGCTGAAGGTTGCATGTCCTGCGGTACTTCTGTGTGCAGCGATTGATTCTAAGGGACGCCCGGAATTAAACTACTAGGTAAACAAGCGGGGCGAGCATCTGTCTTAACACCCACTCGACGATACGTTCGATAGAACCCTCTAATCCCAAACCAAGTAGATAGCTATCATCGCCAACTTTTTTGCACAGGACAAAAACGCACACATGCTAACAAGTGGTGCGGCTGGCCTGACTACCGGTATATTGTACCAATCTAACTACACCCGCACATACTCTGGTTTGATGGGAGGGTCCTCGCCCTGTGCGAGAATATTGGCACCCGCGCACACATCGGTTGGACCGGAACATTTCGCTGGAGACAAAAGCAGAGCTATGTATGAGAAGCTGTTGAAGATGTCATGAGACGAGTTCGCCTCCATTTGCATCGAGTGCAAAAGCCAGTGACCTAAAACTAAAGCTTGATCCAATACGCTCGCCGAACTGGCCGAAACTTCACGAACCAGAATTCGTACTAACTCAGACCTGACCCTATGTGGCTCGTACCATTGGTCAATCTAACTAAATTTTCAATAAAACAAACGTTGCCAATCTAACTATGTATGGTACATCCGCTTAGTCAAAGCACATGTTTAAACTAACAATTGTATATGGTATGTATTTTAATATAAATGTATGGATGTAAAAATATATATACATTTATGAATATATATAAATGTATACTAATATGAATATATATATTAATATGAATATATATATATATATATATATATATATATACATATAATAATACACATACATATAAATATACATATACACATACATATACATATACATATACATATACATATACATATACATATACAAATACAAATACATGAACATATACATATACATATACATATACATATACATATACATATACATATACACATACACATACACATACACATACACATGCAAATACACATACACATACACATACATATACATATACACATACACATACACATACACATACACATACACATATACATATCAATATGAATATATATAAGCATATACATTAGAAAATACACATAAATATACATATATATACATATTTATATAAATATACATATACATTTACATATACGTATGCATATACATATACATATATAAATACATACACATGTACATGTACATGTACATGTACATATACGTTACATATACAGATACATATACATATACATACACATATACATGCGCATACATATACATATACATATACATATATATATACACATATACATATACATATACATATGCATATGCATATGCCTATACATTTAAATTTGCATTTACATTTACATGTACATTAACATATACATCTGCATATACATATACATTTACATATACATATACATATAAACATACACATACAAATACTTATACATATAAATTTATATATACATATGCACGCACATATACGTATACATATACACGTAAACATAAACATACACATACATATGCATACACA